TCAATGTCCCCTTGGAACTATGGTTATAGATATTTTGTGGAGTATAGACATACACTTTTGCATGAGATGCTTGTACTTTTGGATCCTTTTGCTTATTGGTATTATATCACCAATAATGCTTCTTCTTCTTTGTTTGGGCATATCTGCATCCTTTTCCTGGTCATAAACAAAGTGCTTAAAATTTATTTTGTGCTCCATGCAATTGTTTATCATATTTATTGTATTCTCCTAGTATTGTAACCAGGATTGATACCTTCTTTGTTTCATGCAGTTCTACCCGATTTTGCTCAAGTATACGGCTTCATTGGCAGTGTCTTTGACCCAAACACTACTGGTCATTTGCTAAAGCTAAAGAAAATGGACCCAATTGTTGTGTTTCTTCCTTTCTTGAAAGGTTTTTTCTCATCAATAAAGTTTTTTGGTTGATCAAAAAACAAAAAATATATATCCCATACTATTTTGATTGTTTTGTGATTCTAATGTAGATGTAGGAGACTTCTTTCCTTATATGGTTTGATGCAGGGAAACAAAAAATTCCTACTTAATCGGATGTTAGAAAATACACAATGATAACTACGCCTACGTTTATGGAGAGTAATCTACTATGCATAAGCTGGAGGAACCTCTTAAAATCCTATCCCGATCTAGGGCTACCAGGATAGGCATTATTACATGTCGGGGGATTAATTGAAAAAAAAAAAAAAAAAAAAAAATAGATGCAAAATTGTTGTTTTTTTTTTTCTACACCTATCTCACATGAATTCCAAAGGCACACCTTGAATATAAAATTTTGAGTTTATGGTATATTATTTAGCATGTTTCATCACAATAGAAGTGGAAAATTATCCATGGTTACCCTCTTTTCTTACTTTTTCTCTTATTTCAAGCTTTGTGCACAAATAATTGGTATTTACAGCTCACTTCAAAAAATTCTAGAAAAATGCAGACAAATCTCCTTAACCTCATTTTTTTTTGTCAAAACCTTCCTTTAAGTGTTACTTTCATGGAAAAGAGTTTTATCAAAAAAGAGTGAGTAGTTTAACAGAAAATATGATTTTCATAACAGTCGATGAATTTGGACAACATTGGAGTATTTCTTAAGGGCCTGATTGGTAACCATTTCATTTTCAATTTATATTTATAAAAATTTAAAAATCTATCATAAAAACTTATTTGATAAGTTTTTGGATTTTTAAATGGTTGTTTAAGTTTATAAATTTGAGAAAAAAACGTAAACTCAAAATGAGTTTACGTTGGTTTTTAAACAAAAATTAAAAAATTTGATTAACAATTTTTTTTTTCAATTAATTTTTTTAATTAATTTTTTTTCAATTCTAATGTGTATGATCCCATTGTCATAAATATAATATATATATATATATTTTAGGCTTGAACAAACATATTTTTTAGTTTATGTTTTTAAAATTTTTCAAACATTTTGTTCAAACCAAACGTGTTTATAGTTTATGTTTTTCTAAAAATAAACAAAAATCAATTTATAAAATTTTTGTAAACATAAACCAAAAACGTAAGCGTTACCAAAAGCTACCTAAATAACTAAAAATCTAGGAAAGCTATTTCACTTCTAAAAGATATTATGAAAATTAGATAGAATTATCTACAAATCATGGGAAGGCCAATTTGAAAAAAATCTCAAAATGTCTCTTTAATTGCTATCTTTAAAGTACTAATCTAGAAATTATGTTTGTTGATAATTTCATACTTCTAATGTCAGGAATGTGCTTCTTATATCTTCTTTGGGTCGTAGTATGCTATTTACATTGTTGTGCCTAGATTTCTTTACCATGATGCTTTGATGATACTCATGCTAGTGTAAAAATTATTGTCTTGCACGAGTGATTGTTTTGGAACTCTTGAATTGACTAGTTGTATTTGGACCCTAGGTATTTATGACAGATAAGGTTGGAGGAGGTTATCGGAAAAAGCCCTTATATTTACTGTCTCTTTTGAGGTCCTTAGTTGGTGTTATGCGGTACATAACTATTGTACGTATCTGGGGTAAGGTCTGTAAAGCAGCAAAAGATGAGGCAAATTGAATAATCTGAGGCCAATTCTTATGGTTGAGAGGATGAAATCTCTTTGAGAGATTTCTAAATTACTAACATCTAACGTTGTAATCCTTTGTTATTGACTTGATTATTATGCTTCATTACTAGTTTGTTATAATTGTGATTGTGTATTGGATTTGGAAAAAGAGACGAGGTGTGTGTGCTTTTACTGGACATCCAAACCTCATAGCATTTCATGGCAAGTATTAACAAAATTCACGCAGACGATGACAGAGAAAAAATATTTGAAGACATATGGCTATCCTAGAATAATTAGGAATTAGTAATCACATTTTAGGATTGTAAGTGTAAAAACTCCTGTCATAATTAAAATATGATCTTGTAACTATTATTTTACTTATATATATCTTTTGTGTACTTATATTTATCCTTCCATCAACTTATGTAGACCTTGTGTTAATACCTTGTTAAGATCTGTTAAAAAAGTAACTTTGTTATCTAAGGAGATTGGACTTTGAAGGGAGACTATATTGACTCCTCCGATCTTTCATAGAATCTTACTTGGTTATTGACTAAACGACTCATTAGTGACGTTTCCTAAACTTGTAACCTTAGAAGAACCCTATATTTATTTGTTAACATATTTACTAATGTTCTTGATTTTGGGGGTGTTATATTTTGTATTTGTTCATGAACACTATTTTCAAACTTTATTTCCTTATATGTTCAAATTTTGAACAAATTTATAATATTATCTATTCAAATCCTATTGTTGTTCAAAATTTGAACAAATTTGTTCTATCTGTCAAAAAAAAAAATTAATCTATTTCATCATATCATTATCATCAACATCATAAACATCAACAACTAACAACAAAACACACACACACACACTCATAGAGTCATTTCCTTCTACAGAGAACAATATAAATAAATAAAGTTGATCTGGATTCGAATAGTGGCAGAGAGACCTTAGATCTCATATTTAGAAGAGATCCAGCAGATCCAAAGCCCCTCAGATCGGCAGTGACATCTCCGTCGGGCAATGAAGGAGATTCGTCATATAGATCTATCAACCACAAAGAAACACCCACACACAAAACTCATCATCATCATCAGATCCGTCATTCACAAATAATATGAACCCTAGATTACAATATATGATTTTTCAAAAGAAATTAGGGTTTTATGAGAGAAATTGACTGAAGGATCTCTTTTTCAGGCCTTTGTTCGAGGCGACGACGGAAGCGGAGGAGGTGTTGTGGCAGACCCAGGTGCAACGGGCTACAGCAATGAAGCTGATGATACATATTAGGGTGCAAAGTATGAGGTAAGGATGATGACGAAGTCTGACTCGGTGACGCAATAGCCTCCGAGGGTTATGCCACAGTGATAGCGGAGGATGATGAAAATGAGTTGATGTCGTGGTGTCGTGCTCTTTCCTCCGATATGATCATGCTCTTCTCTCAGATTCATAGGGAAAAGGCAGTGGTGACACCGTCTACGTATAAGGGAAATGAGGTGGTGGTGAGATGATGATGTTGGCGGCGAGTCTAGCGGCATCAGTATATATATATATAGAGAGAGAAAGACAGAGAGAAACTAAAATGAGAGAAACATGATTCACCACCTGATGCAAAATATATATAGATGGAAATTTTGATCATTTTTTCTAACCATGTCCTTATGGACAAAGTATTTTAGAGTATAGACTTTTGGGTCCCAAAAAAATCCAAAATTGGATTTATAGACTGAGTACCCTATTCGTTTTTTACTTTTTTTAATTATATTTTTATCCCTAACAAAAATTATCAAAATTCACTCAAATGTAAAAAAATAAGATCATAATTTTTTCTTTCAACCTAACCCCTGCATCTCTACCTGATGAGCTTACAATGGATGAGCTTTGTGATCATTGTATGTGGTGTAGCTCCATAAACTCATATTCATTGTCTTCGAGACAACTTTTTTTGCAGAAGATGTCTACAGTTGTGTGGGATTACTAGATTGGATTCAACTCAAATAAAGGGGTGATGTTTAAAACAAATTGAAGTTTATCTCATTTTTCATTAACATTCAATCAATACAATTTGAGTCTTTATATACAATTTATTGCAACTTTCTAACCTAACCAATCATTAACCTAATTATGGTTATGTTACCACAACTCCCTAACTAACTAATCTAACAACCACAAGTGGATTGTAACCTCCTCAATCTAATACACATGCTTAATTCTTGTGCACTAGCTTCAAATGACTCAACTGACTTGTTGAGTTCTGGCTTGGGCTACAGCCTTGGCTGTGACTGCAGCTCTGTCTTGGATTGTGGCTATGATTGCAGCTCTGTCTTGGACTGTGGCTTTTCTTAAGGTAGCCTTGGTTTATCATGCCCCCTTAAGCTTAGGGAAGAGGACATGATCATAAGCTTTGACTGTAAGTACTGAAACCTCTAGATAAAAAGAGGTTTAGTCAAAATATCAACCAATTGATCAGAAGTAGGAATATAACTAATCTTGAGCTTTTTAGCTACCACTTTTTCTCTGACATAGTGATGATCAACCTTTATAAGTTTTGTTCGAGCATGAAAAATAAGAGTAGATAAGAGAGAAACAGCAGATACATTGTCACACCAAAGAGTGGGAGAAAGAACTAAGATGTAGAGATCAGATAGAAGCATGGTAAGCTAACTAAGCTTTGCTGCTATCTGAGATAAAGCTCGATACTCTTCCTCAGTAGAAGAATGAACCATAGTGGGCTGCTTTTTAGTAGACCATGAAATCAGATTAGGCCCAAGAAAAACACAATACCCTATTGTAGACCTCATGTCCAAACCATTGCCAGCTCAATCTAACTCTAAGTAGGCTTGAAGAAAAAGAAGACCTAGGCTAAATTGAAGACCAAGATCAAGAGTGCCTTGAAGATATTGAAAAAGCCTCTTGACATGAGCAAAATGACTAACAAGATGATGTTACATAAATTGGCAAGCATACTTAACTGCAAATACAAGATCAAGTCTTGTGATTGCTAAGTATTGAAGAGCACCTACAATGTTGCAGTAGAGAGTAGCATTAGAAAATACCACATCATCAATACAATTAGCCTGCTTGAGAGCCATTGAAGAGGAATACGGTTTACAATCAAACATGCCAGCTTTGGCAAGAATCTCATAAACATATTTGTGTTGAGAGAGGAAATAGCCTAGAAGGAAGGAAGTAACTGGTATACCAAGAAAGTAGTTGATAAAACCAAGTTCCTTCATGACAAAGGTGGAATGCATTTGCTCAGGATCACTACCAGTTAAAAGAATATCATTAATATAGATGAGTAAAATGGTAATAGAAGTGGCAGTCCTTTTAACAAACAAAGATGAGTCACAATAACTAGATAGAAAGCCCTTAGCTTGAAGAAATGTGGAAAATGTGGAAATCTAGGCTCTTAGGGCTTGCTTAAGCCCATAAAGAGACTTGTGAAGCTTGCAAACAAGGTGAGGAGAAGAGGCATTAGTGAAGCCTTAAGGTTGTTGCATATACACTTCCTGCTCTAAGACACCATTTAAAAATGCATTGGACATATCAAGCTGCTTGATTGGCCATTGAAAGGTTTAGGTTAAGAATAAGAGAACTTGAAATGTTGGTTGTTTGGCAATAGGGCTAAAGGTTTCATAGAAATCAATGCCCTCTATTTGAAGAAATCGCATAGTAGCCAAATGAGCCTTATACCTTGCAACAGTGTTGTCTGAATTTTTCTTGATCCTATACACCCATTTACACCCTATAGCTAACTTTCCAAGAGGCAATGCAAAAGAGGCCTGGTACCTTAGCATTGTAAAGCTTGAAATTCATTCGACATTGAAGCTTACCACTAAGGAGAAATGGTTGTTTCTGTGTATGTGGATGGTCATATGGAGTTAATCCCAGCCATGAGACAAGTAGGAAGTGGTTTAGTCTTAGAACAAGTAAGCATGGGATGAGTATTTTGATAAGGCAAACAAAGATGTAAATCTATAGAGATAGAGAAATAGGAATAGGGGATTAAGTAAAAATGAGGTAAAGAAAAGGAGGGAATAAATGAGGCAAGTGAACCAGATAGGACATGTGACGGAAGATGTGGAGATATAGGATCTACAAATGATATAGGAAGGGCAGACGAAGTAGGAACTAAGGGAATAGGTGTTGCAGGTAGTGCAGAGGGACAGTCAGGTGCTATAGGTGGTGCAAATAGAAAGACAAGTGAGGCAGGTGGTGCAGAAGGATAGACTGATAAAAAAAGCTATCTAAGGGCCATAAAAAGGTTTGAAGTTAAGAGAAAATGAGAGACGAGGAAGAGGCACAGATGGAACTGTCTTAAAAAGGAAAGATAGTTTCATCAAAAATGACATGCCTAGAAATGTAGACTTGACCACTAGGCATATCTAGACATATGTATCCTTTCATAGAAGGCTGATAACTAAGAAAAACACAAGGAAGAGACCTTGGTTGAAGTTTGTAAGTGATATAGGGTCTAAGCCAAGGATAACACCTACAACCAAAAGCTTTCCAAAAATTGTAATCAGAAGGTTGCTTATATAAAACTTCAAATGGAGTTAGATTATCAAGCTTAGAAGTAGGATGTCTGTTCACAAGAAACACTAAGGTAGTAAGATCATCAAACCAAAATTGTATTGGAAAGGCTGATTGATGCATAAGAGCTATTGTAGTTTCTATTAAATGCATATGCTTCCTCTCAGCCACCTCATTTTGAGCAGGTGTATATGGACTATAAGAGGAGAGGAATTAAGGCGGTGGTTTAATTACTGAAATCACCTCAACTAAGAAAATTAATATCATTAACTGAATATAGGCTAAAACCCAAGATAAATGGGTCAACTACGAGGCTGAACCAGGTCTGACCCACTTGGACCCAAATGGACCATGGGCAAAACCCAAGAGAAGTTACTGACCTACCACTTACTGACGTCCAGTTGTCGAGGCAAGCCTTACCTCGGTAACTACCTTATAGAGGCCTAACAACCTATTGAGGCAATCTGCCTCCATACAAGATAGTATATGGCCACTTAGCGCTAATAGCAGGCACCAAGGCACTAGTAGCCAAGGGCTGAAGGCAGGCCCGAGGCACTTCTAACTTGGAGCTAATAGCAGGCCCCAAAGGTTACTAGTTAGATGTGATAACCCTGGTCCATATTATGTTAATTAATCTTAATTGTGATTGTGATTATGTGTTTGATATGATTTTGAGTGCCATTTATATGAATATATGTGGTTTTGAATTTCTATCTGTTCACCGTAGGAAAATCTATTTGATTATGTGCTTTAGAATTTAAATTGAAGGCCTTATCGGCCACAGAAACCGAAATTGACTACGCCATTGTGATTGGTGTAATTTTTAGAGCTTACGGTGAAATTTAATTAAAAATTGATTCGGATCAAATTAAATAGATTAAATTGATGAAAATAGTGCTCAATTAATTAGTGTTAAGGGAATTTGATTAAGAAGGACTATAAATGGGGCTCTAATACACTTATAGGCATTTGTTTTGAGCTCAAAGCTGAAAATCACTCTAAAGAGAAGGAGTAAGGGTCGGTTAGAGAGAAAGGGAGCTCAAGTTGATGAATTGCTCAAGAAGCTTGAAGATCTTGGGGTGTAACTCAAGAATTAGCTATAATTTGGAAGATTTAAACCTCTAGGTGAGCATTTGAGCATGGATTCATAAGTATAAGTTTGTAAATTTGTGTATTCAAGCTAGTTGGGTGATCAAGAACATAAATTGAAATGAAATTGTAGAATTTAAAGCTTATATGTACATGCATGTAAGAATTTGCCATGAAGTTGTATAATTGAGCATGAAAAATATGATCCATGTAGAATTATGGTTAAAGTTCATGCTTTTGATCATCATTTGTATCATCTAAGTTGAAAATGGAAGTTGTAGTTCACATGCAAGTGCAATTCATAGAAGCATGAGTGTTGGATGCATGAAATTGAAGTATTGATGATGGGTTTGATATGAATTGTGTGTGTATGTAAGTAATTCATGGAAATTAAGCTTCATAATGTTGTAATTTAGCATTTGTATCATGTTAGAAGGTTTGCATGTGAAGTATAAGTCGTGGTATGCAAGTTATTTGAGTTTGAATGCAAGTTTGAGCCTCAAGAACAGTTCTAGATAACCCAGAATTTGGCATGTCCGCTCGAGCGGGGAAAGCGCTGTTCGAGCGTGAAATGCAAGCTCCTAGTAGTTTTGCAGTCAGTGATGTCCGCTAGAGCGGGGACATTCATGCTCGAGCGGAAAGCTATGTAGAGTGACTTTCAGCTCGAGCATCTGAATTCACGCTCGAGCGTAAAAATGAGGCAACCAGTACTTTTGCAGACCAAAAGGGGGTCCGCTCAAGCGGAGAAACCTGCGCTTGAGCGAGGAACCCTGTTTATGAAATTTTGTAAAGTTGAATTGAGTTTCATTTTCCGTTCTCTTCCATCTCTAAGCGCTCTTCGGCATGCATTAAGCATTGTAAATGAGTTAAAAGGATAAGAACGAAGCCTAAGAGGAATATATGAATTAAGAACGGAATGAATTGTTTGTGACCCATTGTGTTCATGAAATGTGTAGGATCGAGTTCCAGGGCAAATCCACCAGCAGATCACTGTGAGTAATATCTTAACAAAGTTATCTGAAGTATGTTATTTGTCCAATTTCTTGCTTTCATATAAGTCTTATAAGTTTGTTACATTGAATTAGGGACAAATATTTGTTATGCCATATGATTGGGCCAAAGGTCGTTGGATACAATTGACTGGGCCGAAGGCCATTTGACATGAATGATTAGGCCAAAGGCCGTTTGACATGAATGATTGGGCCAAAGGTCGTCTGACACGAATGGTAGTCTGATATGAATGATAGTCTGACATATGAATGATTAGGCCAAATGCCTTCTGACACGAATGATAGTCTGACATGAATGATAGTCTGATATATGAATGATTGGGCCAAAGGTCGTCTGACATGAATGATAGTTTGGTATGAATGAGTGGGCCAAAGGCTGTCGGATATGAACGATTGGGCCAAAGGCCATCGGATCTGAACAACTGGGCCAAAGGCCGTTGGATACGAATGATTGGGCCAGAAGGCCATTAGACATGAATGGATGGGCCAAAGGCCGTAGGGTATGAGTTAATTGGGCCCGAGGCCGTTTGATATGTCTAGAACTTTAGTCGATTGATACATTAAATAGAAACATAAATTGGGCCTAAGGCCGTCTGATGTAACTATTTCAAAGATTGTTCATGTATCTTCCTTATTTGATGTTATTCATTGGGCTTTTGCTCATGCTCATTCATGTCTATGTAGGTGAGCCAAGGGACGTCCAAACCCAGCCTCGGTGATATATGTGAGAAACAGTCAAGGTTTTGGAGAGTCAACCCAAACGTCTCACGCACGAGACTTGTCTTCGCCTCTTTTGTTCTTTTGATATAGTTGAATTCAAATTTTGTAAAGTTGAATTGAGTTTCATTTTCCGTTCTCTTCCATCTCTAAGCGCTCTTAGGCATGCGTTAAGCATTGTAAATGAGTTAAAAGGATAAGAACGAAGCCTAAGAGGAATATATGAATTAAGAACAGAATGAATTGTTTGTGACCCATTGTGTTCATGAAATGTGTAGGATCAAGTTCCAGGGCAAATCCACCAGCAGATCACTGTGAGTAATATCTTAACAAAGATATCTGAAGTATGTTATTTGTCCAATTGCTTACTTTCATATAAGTCTTATAAGTTTGTTACATTGAATTAGGGACAAATATTTGTTATGCCATATGATTGGGCCAAAGGTCGTTGGATACAATTGACTGGGCCGAAGGCCATTTGACATGAATGATTAGGCCAAAGGCCGTTTGACATGAATGATTGGGCCAAAGGTCGTCTGACACGAATGGTAGTCTGATATGAATAATAGTCTGACATATGAATGATTGGGCCAAAGGCCTTCTAACACGAATGATAGTCTGACATGAATGATAGTCTGACATATGAATGATTGGGCCAAAGGCCGTCTGACATGAATGATAGTTTGGTATGAACGAGTGGGCCAAAGGCTGTCGGATATGAACGATTGGGCCGAAGTCCGTCGGATCTGAACGACTGGGCCAAACTCCGTTGGATACGAATGATTGGGCCAGAAGGCCATTAGACATGAATGGATGGGCCAAAGGCCGTAGGGTATGAGTTAATTGGGCCCGAGGCCGTTTGATATGCCTAGAACTTTAGTCGATTGATACATTAAATAGAAACATAAATTGGGCCCAAGGCCGTCTGATGTAACTATTTCAAAGATTGTTCATGTATCTTCCTTATTTGATGTTATTCACTGGGCTTTTGCTCATGCTCATTCATGTCTATGTAGGTGAGCTAAGGGACGTCCAAACCCAGCCTCGGTGATATATGTGAGAAACAGTCAAGGTTTTGGAGAGTCAACCCAAACGTCTCAAGCACGAGACTTGTCTTCACCTCTTTTGTTCTTTTGATATAGTTTTGTTATATTGGCGAAAACATCGGATTGCTTTTGTATATAAATCTTGGGTTTGACTGACTTAGACTTAAATGATCCTGTGTATATACAGTAATTTGTGTTATTACCCCTTTGATGTGAGTTATTAATAGGTACATATATATATATATATATGGACTGTTATGATGTGTCATGTAAGCACAGCTCTATGGACAAAAGTTCTAAATTTGCTTCCGTTTGGCCCCTTTACTCTAATGAGATATGTCTTGTTTGGTTTGAGGCCGTAAGTAATCCCTTGATTACTGGCCGGTTATGTCCTTAACCCAT